AAAAAAAAAAAAAAAAATATGACTCACCCACCATTGCCAGTTGTGCGATCCGTGTCGACCAACAGATTAATTAGAGCATAGCTCCGGATACTGTAGCTTGGCTACCAAAAAGAAAAAAATAAAAAAAATTCCAGTTTAGTTTTTTGTTTGCATCTATAAAGGCATGAATAGTTTCATTTATTTTGATTTTTTTTTTTTTATTTTAGTATATAGTTTTTGCAAAGACCCCCAATTTAATTTTCATTTTCTTTAAAGGGAAAAAAAATGTGATTTTTCCAGTGCTATTTTTTGCTATACAGCTGCAGACTTGACCATAGTTTATTCTCTTGGATTCTTGATCATTAAATAATTAAAGTAAGAACTATTTCCTTGACAAAGATTGGAACTTTAGATGCATAAAGAAAGGGGAAATGCTACGATATCGTTACGGAACCATTCCGTCGGGGTTTGTAACCGTTAGATCAACTATCCCGACGGTTACATGATGATCTAACGGTTACAAACCTCGACGGAATGATTCTGTAACGGGACTGTAACGTCTCCCTAAAAAAAGAATCTTTTAGTGATGTCTCTTCAGTAGTGCATTCATTTTTAACATTATCTGTTGTTTTTTTTTTTTTTTTTTTTTTTTGCTTTAAATGTATATGCAGGGAAAAGCAGGATATACTAAAGAGAAAGATTGTGAATATAAGCTAAAAGCTCCACCAAGCCTAGTCTCACCTTCTTTAACCCCTCCAAAGTATATAAGCCCTCCAAAAGCTGTAGATGAAGATTTGTACAAAATATCCCCTGATATCGTCCGAGCCAAGAAAATACGAGTAGGTCACTTAGTCTCACCGGATTACTATTTCTCTTGGCTTTTTTTTTTTTGGGATTAAAATGCATTCTTCATCATTCATTTGAAGGGATTAAAATTGAGTAATGCCATATTAGCTAGTACTAATACGTTGAGTGCTCGTTTCGATTTTATTTGCAGAAGAGGTCACGGGGTTTCTTTTCGAGCTGCCTACGTTTAGATTGTCTCGGTTGACTCGTGCGAGATTGACTCGCGTATATGTGGCCAAAAAATGTTGCAGAAAATATTGTTAGCATTGCTAACATGAGTGTTAAGTTTTTTGGTGTGTGCTTTGCATGTATGCAGAGAGCCGAGTGATGTATTTGGTGGAAAAATATAATAAATCTAATGTTATGAATTTATAGTAATTAATTGAGTCTTTTGATTCTTTCTTTCTCTCTCTCTCTCTCTCTCTCTCTCTCTCTTTAACTCATAGCACATTAATCAATATTTTCATTAAAAAAGTATGACGAGACGACGTGCTTAGCCATTAATTTATCACTTTCATTCCGGTTCATACAAGAATTTGTATATTTTAAAATCTTAAATTCAGTGCTTTTTGTGGTCTAATATGTAATTCACATTTGAGGTTTCAAAAGGCTAAACTCTACTCAAAGGTTGTGTCAAAGTGGCATGACAAAAATTTCTTTCTTTTGTTTAAAAAAAAAAATAAATAAATAAATAAATAAAGTGCCTTTCTTTTGTCTTTGTATATATAAATAAATATTTTAATTTATATATTTTATATAAAAATAAATATGGTCAGAACTGAAGCAAATGAAAATGGGGGCAATAGTAGAATTTGAAGAGGAATCTCAGGTGGTCTATCTGAAAATGAAATTGCTGCCAGAATTTTTAAAGAGGGTGAAAGATGTATGAACAGAATTAAATGAAATAAAGTTGAAGAGAATATACCACTTTTTGCAGTATATCACTTCAAGAATCTTAAGGATCAAGCATGAACTAAGTACACAGTTTCTTGAAAATGAATGTTAATAAGTACAAATTTATAAACCATAAACAACATTTATTTTTTTACCCATGTTTATATAGTTTAAGTTAGATTGCATGGCTGGAATAATACTCAAAATTTTATAAATTAATAATGACATATAATAGATGTTTCTCATTATATTATATAATAAAAAAACAGTGGTTAGATTGTATTTTAAAATAATTATTGAATTAAGAAAATTTATTACGAAAACAAAATATACATTAAAATAATGACAAAAAGTCATATGTATATAATAAAGAGAGATTTTATGGTCTCATTACAGAACTATTTCGTCGGTATTTGTAACTGTTAGATCAATTATCCACGACGGTCACATAATGATTTAACGGTTAAAAATTCCGACGAAATAGTTCTGTAACGGTAGCAGTTTCATATAATAAAAACACATTTTGATGTGCTATGGAGGACATATGTGGATATTATTTTATTTTTCCTAAATTCTAGTGTTGGCATCTCAATCTCAAAACCCAGAAATAGAAATCCAACGGTCACATTTCCATCAATCCTCCATTTTCCACAACCTTCTTCCCGCTCCATTTTCCCTCCGGTTGACCACTAACTCTGCAAAACCCTCCCAAACCAAAGCCCGCGGGCCGCGGAGATCGAGACGAAAGCCCGATGTGTGGAAGAGGACGGTGTACTCTGAGGGCCGACGACTTTCGGCGGGCCTGCCATCTCAACGCCGCCCGTCCGGTCCGCCACCTCAATATGGACAGGTAAGGCGGTAACTACTCCGCACAAGTAACACTGCTGGCTGCCACTAAACGTGAATCAAATCTTTGTTAATATTAATTAGCTTGCTTGCCGGATTAGGTACCGGCCGTCGTACAATGTTGCGCCGGGGTTCAATGTGCCGGTGGTTCGGCCGGACGAAGAGGGAGATGCGAACGGCGTCGTTTTGCACTGTATGAAATGGGGACTGATTCCCAGCTTCACAAAGAAAACCGAGAAGATCGACCACTTTAGGATGGTAATGGATTTTTTGTATTTTTGGTATACTGAATTTCAAACTCCTTCACACACACACACACACACACACACACTTTATCTCTCACAAAACATCTGTGCATTTCTGATAATTGGGGGTAGGGGGAATGTGCACGTGTGCAGAATACATCAATCATAAGCAGAAGTTGTGTGTTCAGGAAATTCTTGAAAGCTTAATTCATCTGTCTTGAACTTCATTCTGTGTAGAGTGTACGATGTGAAATGAATGGTGGAATGAGATGTGAGCTGATTTCTGAATGAGATGGTAAATTGGTTGGAAAATAAGAGTTCTAAAATTAGTTAAAACAAGTTTGACTCGTTGATGAGATTTCGTGTTGGTGAAACTTTGTTGTTCCAGCATCTTGGAAGTTTAAAGGGGAGTTTGCTCTGGATCTGTTTTACTGGCTGGCATAATGTATCTGCTTCTCGGTTGAATCTCAGTTGAAGTTATATTTTTGCTGCTACTGTACTGCCGTGTAATCTGCTAAACATGACCGAACCATAATGTTGTTATCATGTCTAACGGAATTTGATTGTTATTGATGTGTGCAGTTTAATGCTCGGTCTGAATCAATTAGAGAGAAGGCCTCTTTTCGTAGACTTCTTCCAAAGAATAGGTGTTTGGTGTCATTTGAAGGGTGTGCTCTCTACAGCTTGTCTACTTTCTTTTACTTTTTTTTTTTTTCTCTTATTTTCTAAAGCAGGAAATGTTTATATTTGTTTCTCTTCATTATTTTAAGGTGGTATTATGTACTTCTATTTCCCTGTACATGATGGAACATCTAGATTCTTTCCTAGTATCCATCATAACAACCATTTTTTTCAATTCTTTGGTTATCCCCAAGGTGAGAACTGTTTTCACGCAATCCTTGGTTACTGTAGAATAACCATACACGGACAAGAAAAGGGGGAAGAATAAGTAACACTTTTCTAAGGGGCTAGATAACCCGATATGTCAAGGTTTTGTTTTCTTGTGATATATGACACTTACTATTTGACACCCAAATTGAGCTCCAGATGTTGTCCTCCCTTTGTGTAAGCTGGACAACCCTTTTTTTTTTTTTCCTATCCCACTTGTTCTATGAAACTAATACTTGATTTTGTATGATGCACTTTTTTCCATCTGGGAAGAATTTCATGTGAAATACAAGCTTAGGCCATTTTCTTATTTTTTCCATAGGAATATAGATGTAAATTTCTAGATTTTTGTTAATTCTTACATGCATCAAGTTTCTTTTAGATTCTACGAATGGAAAAAGGATGGCTCAAGAAAGCAACCATACTACATACACTTCAAGGATGGACGCCCCCTAGTATTTGCTGCGTTATATGATTCTTGGAAAAGTGCAGAAGGTGAAACATGTCGTTAAATGTTACGAATGATATTATAACATTCAAGATTATATCATAACTTGTCGTTAATGATTCTTTGGCATCTTTTTAATTTTTATGGGTTTCCAATTAAATAAGCAAGACATTTATAAAATGGCAGCGAACATTTCTGTTTAATAATGGTTTCCCAAATACCAGAGTGTTTTTCATAACTTGACGGATCCTTTTCAAAATTTATTTGTGTTTATTCAAGCCATTTCTCCTTGCAGGAGAAATCATTTATACCTTCACTATAATCACGACATCCTCATCACCATCTCTTGAATGGCTTCATGGTATGTGTAGATTTCTCAGAAATATTATTTCACCATTGAAGTGTTTCTCTTCAGTCTCCAGTTTTTGTTACTGTTGTTTATCAAGATCATGATAGGTCTTTACTTCCTCAGTCAGCATGCTAAGTTGTTTGATCATTTGAAATTGCTATAGACAGAATGCCTGTTATCTTGGGCAACAAAGAATCAACTGAAAATTGGTTAAATGATACCTCCTTGTCCAATCTTGACAAAATTCTCAAACCATATGAAGAAAAAGATTTGGTACGGGCCTCGATTTTCTCTTTGTAATGTTAGTTCTTCTGGAGATTGGGACCGCGATTTAAAGATTATGAACTTTATATGGCAGGCATGGTACCCGGTGACAACTGCAATTGGTAAGCTTTCCTTTAATGGACCAGAGTGCATTAAGGAGGTAAAGAATAATCTATTATTTATTTGTTTTTCAAGAAATGAAATTTTTTGTTGTACTGCTTATAGAATGTGATTCTACTGAATGTCATAGTCGTGGCAACTTAATCTCATCAAGGCATATTTTGTGCTCGGCGTGCTTGCAATTCAAGTTCTCTAACCCCTAAATTAGCATTTTTAGACTTAAAATATTTTTTTGCCTTGCCCCAAGATTCAGGTAAAAACAGAGGAGACCAAAACAATCTCACAGTTTTTCTCAAAGAAAGATGCGTATGCACCAGAGCCAAAATGTGAAAAATCCCCAGTAAAGAACGAGCCTACTGAAGCTAGTGAACCTAAAATCCCAAAAGAGGAACCTTGCAATGTGTCAACCGAAAACACGACATTAATGTACAAACCAGCTGAAGGCAGTCTGCAGAAAAGTGTGAAGTACGAAGATGAAAACCAGTTGGCACTTAAAAGTACCCAAATGAAGGACGAATGTGTTGAAAATAGCCAAGAGAAAAGTATTAAAGAGGAACCCAAGAGCCAAGGCAAAGACGAAGATCAATCTACCATCTCAAAAGACAATATTGATAAGCGATACTATGCAAAGTTTTGTGCTCATGCAAATGAGAGTGAGAAAAAACATGCGAGTCCTGCCCGGAAAAGAAACAAGGGTGCTGATGATAAACAACCGACACTATTCTCGTACTTTGGGAGATGCTAAAAGCTTCTTTCCTCCTTGTATGCTATTTGCTGGGTTGATTTCTTTTCTGATACTAAGAAAAAACATACGACTGTAAGATTTTTTGTAGCTATAATTTTGGTTGGGCTATTTTGTGTTGTGTTCTTCTGGGATTTGGTGCTTTCTAATCCTATATGTTGAATATTTTTTTTAATTATATGTGCTTTGAAATTATATTAATACACAAGTTATATGTGCTTTGAAATTATATTAATACGTGGGGTTCCTTTTAAAATTATAAAATATTTTACAATTTAAGTTATAAATATATTTTATTAGTTAACTAATTTTTGTATTTGTTAATTTTTTCATATATGATATATCAAATTAAACATCTTTTGACGATCTTTAATTTGATATTCATATTGCATATATAAAAATAAATAAGCTATATGATATAGGTAAGAAAATTATTATAATATAAGATTTTTTATATTGTTATATATAAATATGAATAAAGTAAGAAAAAATTAATTATTTTTAAATTATTTTAATTATAATAAAATAAAAGTAATTTAAAAACTGTAAAATTATATTAATACGACAAGTTAAAACTATATTAATACACAAGTTATACCTTACTTAGAATTTTTACATTAGTACATGTGAAATAAAAAATGTAACAAAAGTTTTATGATGCTAGTTGATATATGTAAGGTTGTCGATAGATTTACTCAGAAAAGATCTATTTACTCAGAAAAGATCTACGTCGTCGGATCAGTTAAAACTAAATTCTGGCTAGTTGTCGAAAGATTTACTCAGGAATTGCGAGGGTGTCGAAAGATTTACTCAGAAAGATCTACCTGGGTATATATGTTGATATATTAAATCCTACCCATTCTATATATATATATTGATATATTAATCTCGTTAATTGTGTTAATTTTATTTATATTTTTATAACAAAAACTAATAAAACCAACTAAAGAAATATTAATAATCATATTATATAATCAACCATTTATATCAATCCATTAACTATCCACGAATTTTATCATTTCATCACAAGAATCTCTTTGAAAGTTTCTAAAATAAATTTGTGATTAATATAATTCAGAATACCCAACATTTTCTATTCTTATAGATACTTTCAACACCCAACAACTGGCAATTAAGTAATAATAAATTTTATCACATTCCATCACAAGAAACTCTTTGAAAGTTTCTAAAATAAATTTGTGCAAACATAAGAAAATAGATCACCCAGAATCTACTAAATTAATTGATACTAGTACAACAGCCCGTGTATACGGGTGTTTGCTAATTTTTTTCTTAAAATCTAAAATTAATGAGAAAAAAATAGTTGAAAATTTAAACACCTTTTTTTATAAAAATATACATATTATTATATATTTACTAACACTTTTTATTTGTGCGACTTACCTGTATTATATTATAATATTTTTTTAATTTACAACATATAACTACATTAAAATAAATATATCAATTGAGAAATAATTTTATTTTTCTAATGAATTTTAATATATATTATTATTTTTTATGAAGATAAATATAATTTATTTATTTTGTCTATACAATATGAATGTCAAATCAAAGATCATCAAAAGATGATTAATTTGTTATATTATATATGTAAAACCGATAAGAAATATAAAAATTATCAACTTTTAATATACATTTACAATTTAATAGCTAATTGAATGAAACAAATCAAAAGTCAGGGATATATTAGTTACTTAGTGCCTCACTATGTAAAATTACAAAGAATTAAAATGTTATATTAGTATAATTGATATTAAAATATCTAAGTTAGCTAAATAATATTTATGGAATGTCCGAACCTAGAATATTAATAATTAATATATCATCAATATTATTTGTCCAAACCTAATTACGAAGTATGATTTTTCGCCAAATGGAATTCCGAAGCACTAGAAACAGCCACGTAGGCTCCACGCAATAGTATATATAGGGGGATTTTCAACTTCCAATCCCAAGTGCCCAACCATTTTAGACCAAGTCTTACAAATCAAGTAACTACCCAGTGAACAACTACACAAAGTCAACAACTTCATGCATAACTGAAATTTGAAAATTCATTTCAATCTTGATAATAACAAGTGACAACTGACAAGCCAAAGACTGCGGTACAAGAACCATAAATCCAAATTGTACTCAAATCTTAAAAAACACAGTGTAAATAACAACAAATTTTATTCTTGCCCATAAATTTCCACAAAAATCCAACACCATGACCATCCCTTTTTATTATTCCACAATTTCCATAATCTTGCAACTCCCGGAAAAAGTACGTAACTAATTGACTTTCTTAACCTTCACCGAACCACCCGGCCCACGACCCGACGACCCGCCCGACTCGAGCGGGAAGAAAAACGGGTACAACTCGTACCTAACATAACAGCTTCCGAACAAAACCCGACAACCCTGCCTATTCACGCACACGTCCGGAAAAATAGCCGTGGCCAGGCACTGCGCGCATGCCGGCCCGGACAAGTCCCTGGTGCACTGCACCAGACCGTAGAGCGTACTGAGGGGCGTTAGCCTGCGTGTCCCCTTCCCGAGCCCCCTACGCCCAGGCCTCACCGCCTCGGAGCTGATATTGCGCATCAAGTTCCCCAAGTTCTCGTTAAACGCGCTTGGGTCCGTGACGTTGTTCACATTCCACAAAATCCACCCGGACGTGTCGAGCTGGCCGGCGAAGCTATTCGTGTTGTACCTAAGGAAGCAGAAGTCGTACCATATGCGGGCGCCCGACTGGGTCGGGCAGTGGTCCGGATCGCGGACGATCCGGGCCGCTTCGCGGATGCAGGCAGTGCAGTCGTTGTTGGGCACGTCGCTCCTGCATTGGGCAAGCCCGTATATTTGGGCCGGGCCTCTGCCGGAGGAGGCGGTGATGAACCCGTTTCGGATGGTACCCGATATTA